GTGGTGTGTGCTCCGCGTGGGCACCGTCAAATTTGCAAGTGTACGGCCATATTCACAGTGTAAAGTACGAAGGAAGATGCTTCCAAGGGCAAGCGGAGGTACAGACAATTATAGCAGACGCGTCAAGTACAATCGGAGGTACATTTACACTGTCATACATGGGGAAAATGACGATGCCGCTGTCATTCAAAAGCACAGGGGCTGCTGAAATGCGCGATGCAATCGATTCGATCACCGCACCTGGTTCCGTAAACGTCAGTGTAAGCGAGTGCGGTAACCATGGCAAGGCATGGCGTGTTACCTTCGCAGCAATTCGAGACGAGGACCAAGATGCTATCATCGTTCAGCACTCGCGTCTTACAGGCCAGAGCGCATCGATAAGCGTATACCCCACAATATCAGTGTTCACCAGAGCCAAGCGAAAGGATATCACTGGCACCTTTCGGATCTCAGTTAGTGGAGAAACGACTGAACCAATCGGCTTTACTGCAACACATATGAAAGTCGTCCAAGAGCTTCAGAAACTTCCCGTCGTAAATTCCGTGATGGTGATTGGTGATAAAGTGTCCCAGGATCTTGGTGTCTATGCTTTGGAACTAACTGCTGATGCAACGGGAGGCAGTAAGGTGCTGACGAATATTCGACTGGATGGCACGCCAATTGATCCTACTCTCTTTATGGCTATTGGCGAAATTCTTGTGATTGGAACGAGCCCCGCCAACTCCATTCGGTCAATGTCTCCACATGACGTCACGTTGGCATATCCGTTTCCTGGGGCAAGCGGATTGCTGAACTACAAAGTATCTGCAGGATCGATTACGAAGCAGACGACTTTTTTGCCGGGATTTGTTGGCATCTCACATTTGATGCAAGTTATTGCTGTTGCAAAGGCGTCTAATGTGTTTCAGCTACCTGTAGACCATCAATTTACTGTAAATAGTGTCTTTTACATTGGTGACACGAAGTTTACAGCCACAGCAGTGTCCGGCGCAATTGTAACAACAGATATTTCATATACAGGCGAATCAGTGGCTGCTGCAAGCCCAAAAGTATACATCTTTGACAATAAAATTAAAACGACAGAAGACTTAAGAAATTTGGTAAGACCAGGTGATGACCTGTGGCTTCCATCTTTATCCGCCAAAATGAACAACTTTAAAGTTTATGAAGTCAACGCCAAATATTTGCAAGTTATTGGTAGCTTCACAGAGAGTATCGCAAGAACACGCGTGTATCATGTAGGTAATGGACTCATTTGGAACCTTGTCTTTCGCTCATATGACGGGAATCTCGAAACTCTGGATGCTATACCGGAAAGTGATTGGCGAGGTACTGACGCTCGGATCGGAACGAGGGGCTCTAAAGCAGCAATTCCAAATGTGATAAACATTGGAAATCCTGCATCCACGCAAACAATTAGATTAAATGTCCATGACATTTCAATTGCCACAACGTATACAATGAGCTTCGCTGGTGAAACAATCTTAGATGCTGGCACGTTAAGCGCAAGATCTATACCGTGGGCGACTTCAAACGATGACATGAAGCAGGCGCTCGAAAGCCTTGACAGCGTAGACGGCGTGAGTGTCATGTCAGTACTACATGGTGGTACTGTCGTCCATACCGTTTCGTTTTGGGGAACGTATCCAATGAAGAAATTGCCTTTACTAGTGGTCACACCTGCCTCAGCCAACTTAAAAGCGTATGTTCACAGTAAAAGTGCAGTTTCAGTGACCAAACAAGATAATTTGATCCTCGAATGTAAGCAAGCATACTCATTCCGGGTCTTTGCGCTTAATTCGAAAGGAATTAGTGACGCAATGCCAGCTCTTAACGTTCAGACTTCGACAAGTACCGTAGTCCCTTCCCCACCTAGAGGTGTAGCGCTCGGCGAGTTCCACGGCTCTACGTGGTTGTCGCTAAATTATTTGGCTCCATTAATTCCAGGAGATGCGAAAGTGACCATGTACCGGATTGAATGGGATTCAAAGCCAGAATTTGACAGCTCCAGTCCTGACTATGGTGTAGCCATCATACAAGAAAAAAATGAGGTTCAACAAGTCACAAGCAGCTATCGCAGCTCTGTAGGTATCGGTGGTGTATTCACGCTGTCCTTAGGAGGACAGAGGACTAGTGCGCTGCCGTTTGACTGCAGCGTTGAAGACATGGCGGACGCCCTCGCTGGTCTCACGGGCACTTCAAACGCCGCATCGAATCTGGTTGAAGTCACACGAGTGCGTGCAGCATGGGGGTTCGCATGGAAAATTACGTTTCTTTACAATTGCGGTGACTTAGCACTTCTTGTTGCCGATAGCGCTCAACTCACTGGAGATTTTCCTCAACTTCGCGTCACTGAGCTTGTCCAGGGCTTTAAAGATCTCGCTATTGGTGATTTTACTCACGAAGTCCAAGAAGTGGCAAGTGAAGGTGTTTCTCCAATATCTGGTTCATTCTCTTTGAACTTTAATGGTCAAATGTCAGCATCGATTGACGTTGGGGCATCTGCATTGACGATGCAAGCTGCATTGCAAGCGACAAGTGCAATGTACTCTATTAAAGTGACGAAAACTGTACGAGATGCGGCCGTGAATACTGCAGTTTGGTCCGTCACATTTGCTTACCTTCGAGGCGAAAAGATGATAGGAGCTGGTAATATCTTTATGATGACAGTCGCAGAGTCTCACCTTACCGGAACGGGTGCGTTTGTGTATGTCGCGAATAAAGTCACGGGCTCTGATTCATTCCGTTTCGCGCTCACTGACCTCCGACCCGGTGTGCGGTACTTTGCGCATGTGATGGCTTACAACGCTGATGGGTTTGGCTCTGCAACGTCACCACTCGCTACCGCAATCACATGTTCGCAACCGCGGCCTCCGCTATCCGTGATTGCTAGTGTACTGAATGAATCGACCTTGACTGTGAGTTGGGGTGCAAATACCGCGGAGTCAACATTGTGTAAGGTAGACAGGTACAAAGTTGATTGGTACCGTGCAGAAGGAATACAAGAACAGCAAATGATTACGACTTCGGCTGCTAAAGGACTACCCGAAATTCAACGGCTCGTTAGCTTTGTAGAGTCCCGCACTATAGCGGGGTACTTCAAGCTAGCATTTGGTGGAGAAGTTACGCAAAATATTCGATGGAATGCTGATGGTAATGGTTTTAACTCGGTGAAGGAGTCCCTTGAACGCTTGACAACCGTCGGAATTGTGGATGTATCAAGGACTGAATCAACTCGAGCTGTTGGCGGTTTGCTTGTGACAGTGACATCCACGACAGTCACGGTTCATGCAACGTCTCGTTCTACACTGTTTGCTTCGAAGTTAGCTCAAGGAGATGCGATTTGGATCGCTGGGAACAAACGAACAATCACCTCTGCTGTAGGGTTTGCAGATACTACTTTGGTTATCGACACCGCTCTTGAAGTTACAGTTCCTGTACCAGTTTTTGAAAGTGCTCACGGGTTCGAATGGAAAATCACTTTCTTGGCGGGCCATATCGGCCCTCAAGAGCTCATTCAAGTATTTCCAAGTGACAACTGGACAGGAAACAATCCTGGTATTATTGTCGATTCGATACAAAAGGGACTTCAGCCGATAAGTGGGACATTTAAGATCGCATTCACCTCAGGTGAAGAGTCGGACAGCACACCACCACTACCTCATAATATTTCGGATATTGATTTGCAGACTGCACTGGAAAATCTGGTAACCATTGAAGCAGTGAATGTCACCAGATTTTTAAATGGTAACGGATACAATTGGATTGTCACGTTTTTATCGGAAGTTAAAAATGAGTTGTCTTTGTTGAGTGTTGATGGAACGGCGCTTCAAGGCCCCGGTGCGCGTGTAGTATCAGCAAGAATCTTGAGCGGTACTCAGCCAAGGTTATACTGCGAACAGGACGGCATAGCAGGTTCTGCTGCTGAAGTTCGTGCACCGGGACTTAGCTATGTGATTAGGAGATTACAAACTGGTATAAAGTATGCCATTCGTGTTCGTGCGCACAACTGTGAAGGGTACGGATCTGCGGCAAGTATTGATTCTGGATTTGAGACTCCACGATCAAGACCTGATGCGCCACAAAATACTAGATTAATGATACTTTCCAGCAAGTACCTTAAGCTGCAATGGAAGGCTCCGTCTAGTGATGGCGGGGCAATTGTCCTTGGCTATCGGCTTCAATGGGACACCGCTAGCACTTTTTCAAATGTATATACTCCTAATTATGACTATCAGACGGTAGTGCTCGTCAATTCTTCAGATACGGGTCCATTCTTTTTCAATATATTTACGCCGGTACTTGCAACTTATTACGTGCGGATCCTTGCTTTCAATGACCAAGGCGACGGCCCGCACGCTATTTTTGCTCCGAATAATGCGAGACCAGTCGATCGAAATCCTGGTCAACCAGAAGACGCAAAGGCAACAGTTCTTTCAAGCTACGCCATTCTGGTGGAATGGAATGCATCTTCGATCGACAAGTATGATTATGGAGGAAACGGTGGACTTCCCATAACACAATACATGATTGAGTGGGATCTCTCTTCTACGTTTAACTCACCAGCTGCATTTGACTTGGTTGATGGAGCAAAGCGCTCCTTTATTATCGGAGGTGATGACGCCATAACTGGAGTCAGATCCGATTTGTTAGTTGCTGGCTCGAACTACAGCATTCGTGTCACTGCATTTAACGCTAAAGGCTCGAGTGCTCCTCGTCTCACCCTTCCGCCCTCTGTTGTTGTAGCAGATCAAGCCCCTAGCGCGCCACAAAATCTGACCCTGAGTGTGGTGTCAGCGACAGCTGTAAGAGCGGCGTGGACGAGTCCTGTATTCTATGGCGGCTCAAGTCCAAAGTCATATGAGCTCGAATGGGGTGAAAAGGCGAATTTCGCCGAAGGTTATACATCAAGCACCACGATTCCTATTGTTCGTGAGATGCAGACAGTGCTTTTACAAAGTCAAGTCGTTCATGAAGAGCAATTTATCGATGCCACGGTTGAAGTCGTAAATGAGCAGCAACAAGTGCGAAGCTCTTACTCCGGAAAAGACGAAATTCAACTGATTAAAACAACAAGCGACCCCGTACGGGACGAAGTTCAAAAAGTTGTCACCTCAGCCACGGATATAGATGAAATTCAGGAGCTGCACGTAGATGACGATGATATTGATGAGATTCAAGCGATTCGGACGTCAGTTGCTGAAGCATCCGAAGTTCAGGAGGTGAAAATTGGTGTGGAACGGGTCAATGAAGTGCAAAGAATTCAACTGTTTTTTACAGGTGGAGTCGGCAATGTGGCAGCTATTGGCGGGTCGTTCTACCTAAAGTTTGACACTACTGTTTGTACATATTGTGATGTGACTCAAAGGCACCGAGCAGACACAATGGATCTTATAATTTCATCGCTACAAGAAGTAAACGATCTGACGGCAGCAACAGTAGTCAAAACGCAGTTACAGGCTTTGGATAATATTGATGCAGTCGATGTGAGTCGCACGAGTTTGTATTCGGGAGCTGGAATTTCAGGAGATGATCTCACTTACATCTACTTGATCACTTTTACTGGTAATATGGTCGGTGGAAACGTTCCATTAATTGATTTTGGTGGCTCCCTCACATATAATGGCTATGCGATCACGCCAGTCTTTGCCGAAGAAACCAAAGGAAATGAGCCTAAGTACGACCTGACGGCCAACTCGGTCTTCTCACTTACCTATACCTGCGAATCATACTCGAATCCGACTGCTGCCTCAACTTTTAGTGCTGAGTGCACGCCATCTGTCAAATTATGCGATTACTGTGTCACATCATTTGATGGAGTCAAATTTACAGTATCTGCCGATGTTAGTGGTGCCATTACAAGAGGTACAAAGTTGATGGCTGGCGTTTGCTCCTTCGAGGTGGACGCGAAAGTAGTGACCTCAGGAATCACGACGATTGACATTGCTTATGATGACCCGGGTGCCTTGTGTACAAAGTTCACGGGCAGATCGTTTGCGCTTTATAAAACACCGCAGATCAAGGTGCTGCGTATTCCGGTAAAGACTTCATCAACAATGGCCGTTGGGGCTAGCGAGGTTCAGAGCGCATTGAATGTACCTGGTCTACTAAATGCAATGACAGTTGGACGAAACTTACTAGTCACATCAACTTTTGTTGGAGCTATTTACTCAGTCATCTTCACGACAAGAACGGGAAAGATACCGCTCTTAGAGTGCGACGAAACTGAAATCACTCCAACTCAGCCTAATACCGCTGTAGAATGTTCCGTCACACGATCGAGTGTCGGAAGCATGCTCAGCGGTACATTCAAACTTGGTTTAATTAGTCAGGCTGACACTGATCCCGCCGATGTTAACGCCCCGTATTCTCCCACTGCATTTACTTCAGCGATTCCTTGGGATGCTACCGAGATTGAGATGAAATCCGCACTAGAAGCAGTGGACACACAAATCGGCAAGTTACTTTTTGGCAATGTGGATGTCAAGAGGACTCTGTACCATTCCACAATCGCAAAATGGTCCGGAGGATTTACGTGGCAAATAACATTTACGAGTCGCGGATGGGATATTCCAACGATAGTAGTCGATCAATCGGGGCTCACGACCTCAAGAAGTAACATCCCAGCAGCTCAGATTATCGTTGGTGATGGCACACATTCACTATCAAGTCCGAGTGTCTTGTGCAGAGATGGGAATCAAGTAGGTGGTAATTTGATCTTCACGTTTGGCTCTGCATTAGCTCAAACGTGTACGATTGGGATGGATACATCCCTGAATTCATTGGATACTAGTGTAACTGATGCCAAACTTCAAGATTTCTTCAGAAATAGCCTTAATGTTCCATCTGTTAGTATAACCCGATCAGCAGCGTCACAAGCGCGTGGTTTCAGCTGGACGATCACTTTTATCGACGACAGTACGCCAGGTGATCTCCCGGTTCTTGAATTCACAGCAGCTCTCACTTCCAATACTGGCAGCAATAACAGACGCGCTAGTATCATCGAGATTCGAAAGGGTAACGAACTTGGGGGAGCTTTTCAATTACAATTTAATGGCGAAGTGACCGGCCCTATTCCTGCTGGAGCAGACGAATCGGCAGTTCAAGCTCAGTTGAATAGTTTACGAACCATAAAGCCCAGTAGTGTAATTGTGACTCGGACGTTGTCCAGTCCGCAGGTTAAAGGGTATACTTGGTTAATTACCTTTCATTCGTCCGTATGGGCGGATCCGACCATGGATCATTCTGCAGGTATAATTGGAAACTGGAAGGGTCCTGCAACTGCGTGGGATGACGTGTGGGAATCTGGATATTCAAAAGCTTGGGGTCGTCACGTTGGCCATACTTTTCTCGTTACATGTGATAAAAGTAGTCTCGTGACGTCTACGAACGACAACTCGCATGCATGCATTACGGACGTGGTTACAGTAGGAATTGGCCCAATAGGAGGCACGTTTGCCGTGACTTTCGACTCAAGTCAATCACCTCATTTGGCTGTAAGATCTGTCGAGATAAGTGACCCAATTGCGCATAATGCGTTTGCGTCGAAAGAGGAAAGTGGCAATACGGGGACATCAGTTGAAGAACTACTTGAAAAAATGGCAAATATAGGGGATGTGCAAGTCTCACGGGGTGTTGTAGATCGAAGTACGGGAGGTTACCAATGGACAGTAACCTTTTTGAGAGACACAAGCGACATCTCCCATCCTTGCGAGGAGCTTGAAATTCTGCCCGATGGATCGAAAAAATGCAACTCGCCTGGAAATGTGCCACTCATGACTACAATAGATGCACATCTGAAAGGATCGATAAATACCCATGCAACTGTGATGACTATCCAAGATGGAGCCATTTTACGAGGCGATTTTACAGATTTAAAAGTACTGGGCGATGCTGGTGTCGATGAACGATATACTGTAAGTATCGGTTGTACAAATTCAATTGCGTCAAGTTTGCCTTGCTCTGTGACTTCGTTTGCGATCGTGTCTGGAGGAAGTACCTTACGAGCTAGCATCGAAGCAAATGACCGATTTATTGTGGACGGAATCACAAGTTGTATCTTTACCGTCGTTGGTGTTGATTCTGCTGTTACACCTCCCACAAAGATTGATGTCAAGCCGCTTGACTGTGCTGCTCTCAACACTGATAACACGGCAAGTCCATTAGGAATGTCTATCCTTATTCCTTGGAATGGCGACAGCAGTTTGGTCAAGCGTGTGCTAGAGGCGGCATCGACTATAGTAGGGCGCAAGGTCAGCGTTAGCAAGACTGTACTTGGAAAATACGGCGAAATGTCATGGCTTGTGCGATTTATTTCCAACCCTTCGTACACTCCGTTGGGCGCTGGCAACATACCGACAATTTCTGCTACTTTTCAAGCTGAGACGACGGTATCCAGTAGCCCTATCAGCGTGATTGAGCTCATGCCTGGTTCGAATGGATTAAGTGGCTCATTTTTTCTGGACTTCTTTTCATCTTTAGGGCGTCGAGAAGTCATGTTTGATGAAGATGCGATTCGTTTGGAGCGAAAAATCAATGAAATGGATACGATTGGTAGAGTGTCCGTCGAGCGATTTGAATATCCCTCAGCGGCCACGGGATGCTTGGACTCACAATGCTCTGGTGGCTGGGAAGACCAGCCGGTGACTAACCCAGGAACGCGCGGAGGATATCGCTGGCGAATTCGATTTCTGCGAGTGGCTGGAGAGTACGAGGGAGTGGCGTTTCCACCGGGCAGTGGCAACCTAAACGAGTTCTCAGCAACTTTCCTGGCATCTCTTCATGGAAATAACTGCTTCGTATCGGTATACACTGAAACAGCAGGCTCAGCTCCGATTTTAGGAACCTTTAAGCTTACTACTCCTCAAGCTCAAACCCCCTCACTACTCTACTCATCGACAGCTGAAGCAATGAAGCAAGGCATTGAAGGTATGGGTCTGTTTGGTGAAGTGGATGTCACATATGGGTATCTGTCAACGCAAAAGATACCAGGCGTGACTGCCCAGCTCGCGCGAGATTCGCTTACCGCTACCATCAGTGGCATGGATGACATTCGTCAGATTGTTGCTCCGACTGACATTATTCGCTTCGGATCTACAAATGATGTTCTTTTGGGTTCCAACGGAGATACTCCATTTGCATCATCCCGTGGAACGTCGCTTGTGACTGTCAATGCTCTTTCTCCAGTTGTCGTCGCAGTAGAAGTCTCTTCTACACAGAACCTTTACCCCGGCATGCAGCTCCGAATAGATGGTCTTTCATATATAGTTCAGCGTTCAGGACACGAAATCCAGGCAATATCCGTAGCAATCCCGAAAAATGCCAATCCAAATACCAAATTTTATGCTCTCAAGCTTTCTAGAGCTGGGGTAGTCTACGGTCCAACAGTGTGCTTTTCATTAAGTGCATCAGATGCCGACCTTCAATCCTCGTTGCTACAATTAGTCCGTGAAATTGATAGACATACACCATCAAGCGCTATAATTGTGTCTCGCTCGACGCCTGTAATCACTGCGACGACCACGGAATACGTCTACACCGTATACTTCTTTGGGGATGCAGTGGCTGGAAATGTTGCAACATTACAAACTACTTCGGGTACTTGTACTGGGATCACCGGTGCGTCGGCTTCAGTCAGTGTTATCACTCATGGAGGAAATTTACCTCACCAGCGTCTGTCTCTAGCTACTAACTTGGGCCAAGTTTTTGATACTAGTGGCTACTACACGATGTCGCTTGATAGTGCAGGGACTGAATGCATACGTTGGGGTGCCACTGAGCGAGAGTTAAAGGATGCACTTGAAAATACGCTTAATACTGGTAAAGTCATTGTTACGAGGCGTGGAGGAGGTAAATCAACGACAGAGATCCAGCGTCTTCGTATGACAGCAAACTTGGAAGTTACGGAGAGTAGGGGGCTATTTCAGCTGCAGTTAACGTTAGACGGAAAGACCTCTTCTACCGATTGTATTGATTATGGAATATCTGCGATGGATCTGCAAATCGAGCTAAACAAACTGAGTAACTTAAATATTATCGTCGACCATATCAATGTTACACGAGAGGGCGATGGTTCGTCGGTCTGGGGCTATGGTTTTGAGTATTTTATCCACTTTCGAGGACCCAAATCTGGTGGATACAGTCCAGTTATTGGCGACGTGCCATTGTTGAAGATTGCCAATGTTGGACAGAACATGTGCTCGTCGATCGGTGCTGGTGTCCATCCTATTCTAACAATCGAGACAGTGCGAGAAGGCACTCCAGCATACACCTACGATATTTATTTTTTGGACTATACAAAATCGGCGTCAGTACCAACGATAGGGTTAAACCATGAAGGTCAAGGGAGTGCATGTCTAACGGGCTGGTATCATAGTGGTGGCAGCGTCCGTCGCGCATCAATAATTTCAATAGAACGTGGTGGCAGTAGCGAGGTTCAGGTTCTGATTATTTCCAGCGAAATTGCTGCGAGTAGATTCCTACTCGATTTTGCTGGACAAACAACGACTTGCTTTCATTTCGATGCGAGTGCACTAGAAATCGAAAATGCGCTGAATGCATTGACCACAGTTGAAGCAGGAGGTGTTTCGGTATCTAGGGATATTGACTTTTCATTGGTACCCAAAGGCTACGTTTATCGAATTACCTTTGTTGGGGATCTAGTCTCGGGAAACGCTCCGTTGCTTATTGTTAAAGAAGCCACTAATGCCTGTCTTAATGCACAGGCAACGACAAAAGCAGCGATTAAGCTTGATACTGAGGGTGGGCAGAACTCGGGAGCATTTGCACTTACAACATACTACGATGGCGAAGCCCCTCAGGTACCACACGTCGCTTATAGCATTTCGCAGCAATTTAGCGTTTTGAGCGAGCAATTTGAAGTTCAGCAACTGGTGATCTTTAATGCAGCCAACGATATCGGAGCAAGTGCGACGTATAAACTCACATTTAGAGAACAGACAACCACAGTTATTCCATGGGACGCTTCCGATATTGCAGTCGAAATAGCACTGACAGTCGCTGGCGTCGATAGAGGGGATATAACAGTGACTCGTCGGCCAGATTCTGCTGACGGGTTTGTGTATACTATTTACTTTAGTGGACTATCAGTGACTGGGGACCTGTCTGCGCTTGTACCGGTGAGTCTAAACAACTTTAACACGGGCCAAGTATTGGTGTCAACTATACGAGATGGTCGCGATACGGCAGCAACATTTACTAGTGACACCATACCGTTGGCGCAAGTCAACGCCCCAAATTTAGCATCGCGGTGTCTGGCGGGTGGGATGAATCTCGATGTCTACAAAGTAAACGGATTTATCTGGACAATCAAATTCAAGTCATCTCTCGGGAACATATCAAAACTGGGCATTCAAAGCAGTGCATTGAGCGCTGACATGCTAACTGTTACTGATGACTTTGTACCTGGATCTGCGTCGAACTCGTGCATAATATCAAACCTTCTCGCTGGTGTCAACTATTTTTTCCACGTGGCAGCGACAACAGACATTGGTACTGGTCCCTACTCACCCACTCGCTCCATAGCACCAAGTGATGCGGCTTCTGCAGTCCAGAATATCGAAGCAGGATACGCTATGTTCGAGCGTGAAGTTCAAGAGATTCGTCTTGCGGCATCTCATGTATCTGAGGTGCAGGAAATCACATCGGTAGCGGCCAGTATTGCCGAAGTTCAGACGTTGCAAACGTATGTCTCTCCGTCTTTATGTCCAATTGGTCCGTGCATCACAGGATCATTTGCTTTTCGTATCCCTACGGTACAGACCGTCACCATTTTTGCTCAAGGTCCTATCACATCCGGAACGTTTGCGTTATTTTTCGTTAGAGAAGTGGAAGATCCACTAAATTTGGGCTCATTTAAGTCTGTTGGCGCGAAAACTAGTGCAATATCGTGGCATGCAGATGCTAGTACCATTGAAAATGCATTGATCACCGTGACAAACGGTGCTTTAACGACGAATGATATTGTGGTCACGCGCGATGGAGACGCGTCGAAGGCATTTAATTATGGCTACTCGTATCAAATCACATTTGTTGGCTCTAATGTGGCGGGGGAAACGTGGCAGATGGAATGTTTAGACGCAAGTTTTGTAACTATCGGCAGTGTGCCGTTCAGCTGTGAAGTGGCGATGAAACATGACATTGCGATGGGAACAGATACGGCAGTGCAGCAAGTGATTGTAAAAGCGAAAAAAACTCTTGTCGCAGGATCATACAGTCTTCAGTTTAATCATCTCGGAGCAATAAAGACGTCGAGCTGCATTCCTTTTGACGCTTCAGCTCGTACAATGGACAACATCCTTGAAGCAATGAGTAATATTGACCACGTTTACGTGACACGAGAAATGGACAGCACGATTGCGCCGAATGGATTTGTTTACAAGATTTTCTTCCACGGCAATGGCGTATATGGCGATGTAAATC